ATCAATCAGTGTGACCTGAAGCAGTGATATTACTTTGATACTATACTTCAAATAATAGTCCTAGATGGGTACTTATAGAAAGAATTTCCCCCTCTTTTTCTGTTGGCCTCATTACTAAAAGATCTTTGTGCATTTGGCGCGAGCTGTAATGGTGTGGACTTTGACTGCAGCCAATGAGACCAAAACAAAACTAATCAAAGCATTTTGGCTGTCTGTTTTTATTAAGAATCTAGTTGTTTTCATCATAGAGAGTCACTGACCCCAAGTCGGGAACTTAACCCAGATAAGATTTTGTTTTTGTAAAATAATTCCAACCAGGTAAGTTTTGAGAAAGCACAAACCTGTCTTCAGTTTGTCTCTTTATAGGTGTTTAAGCCTAGGAATCTAAGTTTTACTGCACTAATAAATATTGATCATTTTTTTTTTTTTTTTTTTTTTTAACTTCAATTCAATCATTATTCATTCATCAACTTTGCCACTGTTTAAGAATAATTGAATGGTGTTAGGTTTGAAATGCTAAAATATATTGCTATGTTTTCTAATGTTAGCTATTACATATGTCATAATTTGCCATATCTATGCTTATATAAAGAATGCAGGAATAAATTTATTTATCAAAACCTTTCTTGGGACATGCTCAATTAGAACATGATTTGAAGGGGCTGAAGGTGGTTCGAAGGTCTTGTCACCCCTACCAAAAAGTAATTGGAACAATAGAACAAGTAATACAAAGCACATACACTGGATTCAGTTTATTCACTTTTCATTGATGCTGTATGAACAACATCATTTTCGTGTAGGAGTATGTATGGAAAATTACATTATGTAGGGGTGACATGACTTTCGGACCATGCTGTAGTTTAATTCAAACATATATATATACATGGACAAATGCTCTTTATAGAATAGATTAAAAAGAACTTCATTTACATTATTGTCCTCATCTTTGTTGCAATATTTATTACAACGTTTTGGCCATTGTATGCTTCGACCTTCTTCAGGTGGTTGGAATGTCGAACTTAACCCTTTATTTCGCTCACTGGGGTAAACTGTTCTAGTTCTACATGCCATGTTTAATAAATGTCAGTTATCTCCTGTTTATTTCCTTCTAAAAGTTCTAACCGGGTATTGAACTCTTTGGGTCCTGTCACTGGATCTAACCAACGCCTTTATCCACTGTGCCATGTGTCCTTGAGGACATCTGGGTATGAATTTCTGGGTATTATAAACCTAATGTCTTCAGCAACCATTTTTTACCAGTGCTCATATTGCAATTTTTGCTGTTATTATCGCTTTTCTCTAGCACTCCTTATTACTGGTTCCCATATTGTATTCATTTCTATGCTTGGTTGGCTCAGGAGATTTTTGTGGCCTAGCATATGTGCTGATTCCTTAAGTTTACGAATTTTCCAATGGTGTTCTTTGTCTATGATCTCAACCTGATTTCACAGAGGGTGGTGATCTCCCTTCTCTCTCCATATGTGGTCAGCCACACCTGATTTTTTCACTTACCCTCATGTTACATGTATCTTAAGGAGGCGGCCTGTCACACCTTTATATTATCTGCGAAATGTTGTCACGCTTTTGAAGGTTGTCCTGATGTTATATGGACCGCAGATCCTTTGTATTTTCTCTGATAACCCCTTCACATAAGGCAGGCAGACTGTTTTCTGAGTGTTGTTGTCCTCTTCTTGTACCTGCCTATCCCAGTTTTTTTGGGCTGCTACCATGTATCCAGGGTAGTTGTTACGTTGTAGGGTACTACTTATGCTGACCAATTCTTTATCTAATGTCTCTGGGTTGCCACTTATGACTTTTGCTCGGTGTTGTAAGCAGCAGATGATCCCTTTCTTTATGCTGTATGAATGGTAGGAGTTGAAAAGAACTTTGCAGCAATAAAAAAAAAATCTGAAAACATCCATAAATTTATCTGTTTTGTAAATTGTGTAAATTAATGAACTCTGACAAGTGACGGAGAGAAAATGACTTCTTCAAACCACTTTGTCCTTCATGTGTGTTCCAAGTAAAGATGGCTGCTTTGTTCTTCCAGGTAAAACTGTATCTTTCTAGATCAGTGATTCTTAGCCTTTTTCCTTGTTTGACCCCTGCCCCTCCCTTTTAAACCACCAACCAGTTCTCACACGCCTTTCCAGAATTGATGAAAAACAATATTGATCTCATGTGTAAATAACAAAACTATTGTGTTTCTTTAATTTTTATTCACATAATAGAAAACAAAATAATGCATTACAAAAAACCCAGATTACTTTATTATTAGCAAAAAAAATAAAATTGTGGTAACATGTGCTTGTACCATGCATGGGGTGCTGTGAATGATTATAGTTAAGCAACAAACTCGGTGACTTTGTTACTGTTGTTGTTTTCTGTTTATGATGACATCAATCTTGTCTTGTTGTTGAGTTCTACTTACATGTCGTGTTGAGCATCCTGTGGGGAAAATTGTGAAAACGGTTTACCTTGGAAACACCCACGAATCTGTGCATCGTGCAAACTCCAGCTGCTTAGCAGTAAAAAGAACCAAAATGGCAGCACCCATGTTTTATGCCAGGTAGTCTCGGACAGTTAATGCAAAATCTCGTCTCGTCATTCGCATGCAAATTATGGTCAGTCCTTGGCTGTATAAAGTAAGCGCGTTTTTTTTTTTTTTCTGGGGACTTTTTTTTTTTGCTCGTGAGAAGGTTGGACGTGTGACACTATTTTTGTCATTTTTTACTTTGTTGGACTTTTATGACGAGCTGTTGTTTGAATTGTGATTTGGCTATAAGTGTTGCAGTCGAGAAATAGAAGAGATCTATTGCAGTTGTTACTATCAGTTGACAGTCTTTTCTTTACTACAACACATCCAGTCGATTTCTACTCTTGGTTTTGATGCAAAATAGACAGGAAAATCAAGTCTTGCACAAGTATGAGAATTTTTTTTTTTTGCGAGTACAGGATATGTTTCCAACTGAGAAGCCCAGAATTGCTTCAGGTGATCATCGGTAAACTCCATTTGTATCCCAATAACATTTCTCTGATCATTGGGATCTTCCTTGATGTTGCTGTCATCATCAGTACATTCTGCACAATGTAAACTTTTTATGTCAGATTGCCAAACACTACACTAGAGTTTCCTTAATAAACCAACCTTAATGATTCTGTATCGTTGTACCCCCTAGGAACAGATATCGCACCCTTGGGCAGTGCAAGCACCCTGTGTTAAGAATCACTAGATGGAGAGTGTCCAAGGGGAGCAACTCGTATAGATTAACAAATTGTTATTGGTTTACAGATCACGACAGCTATTAGGGAGATGTGATTAAATATACTTTAATGTTTAAAAAATTTATTCAGTATTATTATTGTTTAGGTAATATGCATTATAATGGGTTGGCAACTCATTCGACTCCGCGGACCGGATCGTGTTATAATGTCGCGGGCTGGACGAAGGCCATTTAAGGAAAATTACATATGCAGACCCCTGTCAGCCTAAATATTTAAAACCATAATGAAAATAAACATTGAGAAATCAGAAAAACAAAAGAAAATCTAAAATTAAAAAACACCAAATACTTCAAAGTGAAAAAAATCAACCAAAGTGAAATGGATGAAATTATGATGTGTAGGTTTTAAACTGTTATTAAAAATTGTTCCACAACCAAACCACACACACACACACACACACACACACACATCAAAAAAAAAACGAAGCACATATACCCATACATACGAGTACAAATAGTACACTTACGTACGTACACATGCGGTATCATCCACACATTCATGAGGCATGTATGTATAATGTGCATATGTTTAACTGTCTTTAGATTTCTGCTACTTCGCATGTCAGTCCCTCCCTGGCCTCTTTCACTTTATCATTCCTTTCGCTTCTGTTATCTTTTAATGTAGCCAAGGGTCATAACAAATATGTATCCATTATTTGACATTAAACGTAGGCAACGCAACTTGGTAAAATAAGTCTCATGAAAGATAACTGGCAGATAGTCTAATATTTTTAGTGCACAGAGATGTGTAGACATTCTATGGAAAATGACATATAACAAATTTCATTTGAAGGTTGTCTCTCATGTTAAAAATAGTCATTGGTAATCAGGCTCGCGGGCCTTTCAAAATGTCTTAACAGGCCGGATCCGGCTCGCAAGCCGTAGGTTGCCGACCCTTGTATTATAACATAGCACAAATATCTATATTGTGGAAAAAGGAATTTTCAACAATATACAAATTTTTTACATATTTATGGTTATTTTTTAACTTTTATCAAAAATGACATTCTTGTACATCTAATTATGGATAATATTTTGCATTAATTACTGATTTTTTTAATTAATAACTATTTGTCCTCAGTTGATGACATTCATAGCTATCTGCTGATGTGTTAACATTTTGGAATAATGTAATAATAAAACTAAATTTCATTTCTCTGATGGCTGTCACGATCTGTTAAGCTAAAATATCATGCATTTGTATTGTTCTTTCATTTTCTATTGAGTTTGTGCAGAAAAGGGTTGAAAGTATTGTGGGATACCAGGAACCTCTTCTCGACACTGTCAAACTGAGATAAATGGCATGGTTTGGACACATTACAAAGCACGGCAGCCTTTGTAAAGATCATCATGAAGGCACCGTTCATGGTGGACGTAGGAGAGGATGCCAACACAAAAACTAGTTGGATAATGTCAAACAATAGACAGGTATGACTGTACCAGAATTGCTGATGGCGGCCATTGATAGACCGTTATGGAAAAGACTTAGTGTGGCTTCTGCATTCGGATCCACCCTACAATTACAAACGTCAAGGGGATGATGATGATTATGATGATGATTGACATTAATAGCTATCTGCTGATGTGTTAAAATTTTGGAATAAATGAATAATAAAAATCTAAGTTTCATCTCTCTGATAGATGTTATGATCTGTTAAAATGTTAATTGGATCTACTTTTCTATTTTTATATATTTCTCTCTTTTTTTTTTTTTAGAGTAGTGAAAATGATGAATTTAATACAGTGGAAGGAAGAAGTTGTCCTGTCTCGATAAAACCGACAAATGGAGGAGGTGCATCCAACGCAACTGCTGAAACCTCAAGCTTTGAATCTGATTCTGAACTTTCACTTGACCTCTCCTCTTCTGATGCAAATAAATCTCATGAAGTGTTAGCCTTGAACCAGCAGGACTCGTATACTGAAATCTCTCAAAAACAGGAAAATCAGTATGTAACATTTTCATTTGTTTTGTAAGCTGCATGTAATTAGGAGAGCAAGTATATGACAATTGGATGTGCAGGTGGTGTGATGGATAGTAGCTATGTCAGGCTATCTTGCCCAAGACACACAACTGCTGTTATAGCTGCAGTACATATAGTAACCCTACAGTGCTACCTAATGGGTTATTGGACTTGTGATTGTGACATTACAATTGTTACCATATTTGGCTGCTCAGAGAAGGGCCTTTTCTGTATTTATTTGATTTACTAACAAAATTCTTCCTGTTGATCGCACCCACATTATATTTATCAAGATCACAGTTTATATTTTTTTTACATTTATCTCAGTTAAGTAGCATACTTGATACACGATTGGGCAATCATGCCAGTTTCGATTCATGACGGACTAGGCAGAAGATTTTCCTGCAATAGGTTGTCACTTCTTACTGTGGTAGACTGGTTGCCAATCAAGGCTATAGGACTCAGTCTGTACTGCTATTCAACCCATAGTAGGGGGGAGAAGAGATTGAGTCATACCTTTCTGAAGGGTATTTGTGTGGAAGTAAAAGTAATGAACCCAATTTGAATTTGGCATCCTGATTTCTCATTCTGAGCCATTATCCATTACACTATACTCATAATTATTATGTATTATATATTTATTTATTAGAATCACCATTTACGATATATTTTCTTATTAGGATCACTGTATACACAACACATTCAGCTAACTCCTTCCACTATGTTTTTATTAGGTCCACTATTTACTACAACTCAGCACCAACTGAACACATCCATCCCTACATATTTATTTATTAGGTCCATTGCTTATCTCAATTCTTTCTGCTGACCCCCTTCCACTGTCTTTATTTATTTATTAGGTTTGCTGCTTATCAAAACTCTTCTGGATGACCTCCTTCCACTACATTTATTTATTTATTAGCTCCACTGTCTATCTCAACTCTTGCTGCTGACCCCCATCCACCACGTCTTTATTTATTTATTTATTAGGTCCAGTGCTTATCAAAACTCTTTCTGATGACCTCCTTCAACCATATATTTATTTATTAGGTTCACTGTCTATCCCAACTCTTTCTGCTGACTCCCATCTGCCATGTCTTTATTTATTAGGTCCATTGCTTATCCCACAATACTGCACTCTGATCTTAGATTGAAAATCATATTGGTATTTGTACAAACAGAATAATAGCATAGATTAGAAGGTCTTGGGATCAAGCAAATACTATACTCTGATCCTAAGTAAAAAAGCATAATGAGCATTAGACAAGTAAGTAGAATAATAATTTAAATCAGGGGTTTGGGATCAGGTATATATTACACCCTGATCCTAGGTAGAAAAACATAATGGTTCTACAAGCAAGTAGAATAATGGTATAGATCAGAGGGGCCTGGGATCAGACAGATATTACACTTTGCTCCCAGGTAAAAAGATATAACTGTCATATATATAAACAAGCAGGATAATAGTATAAATTTTTAAAAAGTTTAAATATTTTGATTTATTATTTACCGACAAAAATATAGGGCATTGTTTTTATTGACTTGTTTTTTTTTTTTTTTTTGTTTTTTTTTATTAAACAAATTAAGAGATTTTATATTGTCATTTTTTTTTGCCCCCAGTATTTCATTAAAAACCTCCACAAGTGCTAGTGACATCTGTAATGGAGTATGGAGTCACCCTCAGATTCCCGATAATATCAGTATTACATCAATGGAAGACGAGGAATTGGAAGAACTTGATAGGGATGTTAGTGTTGTATTGGGCACGCCATTGCCTGATGCTGACATCTCCTATTTTGACCCCCTGCAACCAAACCAGGAAGAAGCGGTCAGCTCAAGCCATGAATTGGACACTGACAACATTTGGCTTTTGTCAGCCCTGGCAACAAATGTCCTGCCTTTTACCACTGAGAGTTTAGTGTTGGACCCCAACAAAGACAAGATGCCTGATAAACATTTGGAAGAAAGGAACTCCTTTCATCAGTGCCATTCTCAGCAAGACTCCAGTGTGGCCAGTGATTCTAAGGAAAGCCCAGCCAAGGAATTGGACACAGAAAAAACATCCCAAATTGACATTTCAGCTTTTGATCCTCTTGAAGATGTGTCACATGCAAAAGTATCATATACAAAGGGAGATTTCGACATCTCTCTTAACTTACCGCCATTAACGACTCATCCGAGCTCACCAGAAAGAAATGATTCTTCCACGACTGCCGCTAAGTCGTCTGCAAGTTTTAGCCCAAAGATCCAGCGATCACGATCTAGCTCAAGGTCGAGTGAAATGTCTTTAAAAGTTGGTGGCAAAGAGGATTACATCTATGTTGCTGCCAACCAAATATGCCAGGCACAGGAATGTGAAGCAAGTGGCAGACATGAAATGGCATTTGCGTTCTACAGAAACGGTGTCGGAATCTTATTACAAGGTGTTCAGGGTAAGTAAAATTTTTGATGATTGATTTTTCATGTGTTATTAGGTTACTGAGAAAGTAATAGCCCATATTTTCTGACATTGATATTTAAATCAGGGAGGGCTGTTACCAAAATCCAAGACATCAAGAATTTTCATGATACAGTACTTTCTTAAGTAATCGTCGATTTATATCGCTTATGGCCACATCACATTGAAACACTGGTTCCTCGTACAATCACTGAAGTTAAGCAAAGGCAAGCCTGATCAGTACCTAGGTACTGTAAGGTTGGGTGTGTGGGTGATTTAATTGATAATGGCTCGGGAATATATATCAGAGCGCCGAGTTCCAATTCCTATCGGGTTCGTTATATTCATTTACACACAAATGCTCTTGGGGAAAGATATGAGTCCACCTCTTCTCCCTCTGGCTGTGGGTTAACTAGTAAAATATGTATCGCTAAATGGTTATCTCAAGAAAAAAATGGCTTGGAATTGTTAATCAGAGAGCTAAGTTCCAATTTCAATTGGGTTTGTTATATTCACCTACATGCAAACTCCTTTGGGAAAAGGTATGATTCCACATTTTCTTTGTCCTGGGTATGACGATAAACTACATCTGCATCCTGGGTAAGGTGATAAACAACGTCCAACAGCAAGCCCTCTGATCAGGAGGGTCCGAGGAGCGTGGAACCACCTCTTAATTGCTGGTGTTCCCAGGTCCACTCTGACCCGGGGTGGTAACACCTGTTAGTGGTCCCAGCTATGGGTAAATAGTTAACACCCAAACTGGGGTCAAAACACTATGAAAGTGTAAAAATAGCAGAAATACTTTGTAAAAAAAAAAATTATTACCAACAATAAATTTTTGAAGAAAAATTATTACCAGCAATATGTTTTTTGAAAAAAAAAAATATTACCAACTATACATTTAAAAAAAAAATAAAAAAATATTACCAGCAATAAAAATCTTGTCAGCATTAAATAACCCATTGAGGTTGATATGTCGTAAAACAAAACCAAACCACATTGTCTTGCCTGAGCTATGCATTAATTAGTAAGGGGCTTAATTATCACTAACACCATCATGTTAAAACAAGAAAAAAAATTCTTACAAACCAAAAATATTTTCTGACTTTAAATAACCTGCAAAGGGTTGATAAGCCATAAAAATGTATCAAACCAAAATGATTAACATATCAAAGGGAAGAAGTACATTTTAAAAATTCCATTGATTTTTCTTGCAAATGGTAATATTAGTCGTTTCCCTACAAGGAAACATTTGGCATTCATTGACTGAGTAGCCAGTACTGTTTATGGTTGAAATTTATAAAATCTTTTAAAACAATTTTTCAGGAAAATAGGTTTCTCAAGTCAATAGTTATCTCCCTTTCCAGTATCAATGGTGGTTTCCTTTCAAACTTTCTATTTGAAGTGGTGTGGAATGTTAACATCTTGATTATGTCATTATTTTCTCTTCAGGTTACATGTGCTATCCATTTTAGTTGTTACAGCTGTTGGTAGTCCTCAAGTGATGTGGTTTCTTTTATTTGGTACAGTTCTTTGTGATTCTGTAGTGCCAAACGACAATGTTCAAAGAAGGATTGTCTTTGCCAAGACCCTCAAGCTTCAAAACCTTTTTTCGCCATTGATCTTAGGAAGCGGTTGTATACAGCTGACAGTTTAGATATTTATAAACAGCTATTTAAGGACATAACTTGAAAAAGAGGCACAAAAAAAAACAACTATCCAGACCTGATTATCTAAAAATAAATGATTAATCATGTGTAAGCTTGGGTTAACTTCAAATGATTATACTTTGACAAAACTTGGAATTTGGACAAAGTTAGACCAGTGCTGAAATCAATCCTGTGACTTTCAGACAAGATATAGCACATATCACTTGGGAAAGGTTCCAAAAATGTCTGCTTTTGAGCACACTTTGATTTAGTCAGATTTTAGGAAGAACTTTTCAGCAACTCCTCATGTAAATAGGTTTGTATTCTTCTCATAGAGCCAAGACAGTATTTCTTTTATTTTATTAACTCAGCAGCCATCATGCCTTAAAATTGGTAAACACCTGGAAAATAAAAGATGTTGATATAATTGAGTTATCTCCCCTTGATCAAATGCCTGGTCTGAGAAGAGAAAGATCGAGAATGGTGGTGCTAGTAGATAATCTACGTAGCAGCAGTATTAGCTAATTGGGATACACCTTGATGTAAGCTAGTGGCAGTTTAGAAGACCTTGGAGCTGACAACCTGGATAAAGGAATCTTTGCTTGAGGAAACTGACAAAAGATACAATAAATAGCACCAACAACAGGAATAATGAATACATTGAATTTGAAAAGTGTTTAAACCAGAGTAGAAGAGGCACATTGTACACAAGTATAATTGCTATTTGCCAATGTAATCAAAATGTTTTTATCCCTCCCGCTTTTTTTTTTTCTTTTGATGTCTAAAGTCTTGGCCTTGACAGCAAAAAGAGGGAGAGTGTTCAATTCATTCGCTACCTCACTGCCATAATATAGCTTCTCTGTGTCTTTTTTTTATAAATATTTTCATGAAAACTGTTCTGGTAAGCTTTCCACTTTGCTACCATGACTTCCTGAATTTAAACACAGTATTAAGTTGGTAGGTAGGTCTCATCATTTTACAGTTGAAATTGCTAGATGCAACCATAAGTTCTATATTGAAGTTTCTTCTCTTGCATTTCTCATTTGTCTAGCTTTCTTCTGGCTTCTTACTTTCCAGTCAACTTGTATCTTCAAAAATTTCAATGCAATGTCACTTATTATCTTCTGTCTCCTTAATTCCTGTTCATTTTATTGACCTCTTTCCTTAGTAATATTTTTCTCATATTCTTTCACATCAGTAACCTCTTGCATCTTAGTGGCTTTTTCACCATGCTTGAAGTAAAATTATAAAAAAAAATATCCTCTGGTAGAGTTGTAGTGAGTGTGAAATAATAATAACTCCCTTCACTCACTCCTTTCAAATTCTGAGAGCTGAGAAAGAAAAAGGAAAGGAATTTGCGATCATATGTGAAATTGTTTTTTGGACCAGTGAAAACCTTGCCTTCACAGAAATCAACCAGTCAGCTGGGAAGAAGGAAAGAAAGTAGTGAGCTTAAATTAAATTCTTTTTGATATAAAATGAGGAGAAAAATTAAATTAATAAAAGCAGGGTGTCTAAAGTCCTGTGAAAGGTTTCGATTCAGTTCCTCATGGCCAATGTTGAAGCACTTACTGGTGTAAAATTACTCACCAATTATATTATCAGCTATTAACTAGCACACAACACTTCAAAGAATTTTCTCTCAGTAATCCAAGAAAGCTAAGTATTTCAAACTTTCTTCATCTACTTTTCAATGTATGCAAACCATATATCCCTTCAGTGAGCAGTGAACTCTTGCCTTTGTCTTAAACATTTTTGAATATTATTTTGTGTCAGATCATTTAATCTCTGTCTATATTTCTGAGATGATGTATTGTAATTATTTACACTATTTACATTGTTTGGACACATGGTCTAGAGGATAAAAGCATTGGTTGGATCCATTGACTTGACCAAACAGTTGTGAGTTCAATACCTGACTACTGCAGTGGTGAACAAAAACTTGAAGAGTTGAGTTAAAGGGAGATAACTGAGATATCTGGAAGAGGCATGGCACATGGAACTAGAACAATCTACTCTGGTGGACGAAATAAAGGGTTTGGTTTGAAATTCCAATCACATGAAAAAGGCCGGAGCATACAGTGGCCGAAATGTTGTGAATATGGCAATAAAGATGAAGACAATAGTCTGTACAATGTAAATAGTAAATAGTGTAAATCATTTAATCTGTTGTATAAACATTTCCTCTTCATGAAAATACATTAGAACTATGGACTTTAAGAATTCTGATTTATTTTCCTGAAACAAGCTACTAACACTACTTCAAGTGTCTAAATTCTTGAATAAATCCCTTGTCTTGTTCTGTTAAAATTACCTGTATGTTTCCTCATCATTATCATCCTTCATTAATCTTTTTGGTATGGGTAAATCAACTTTTCATTTTAAACATTAACCACCCCAAGCTACTATAGTTATACTGGCTTTTAGTAAAATATTTCTTGAAACCTATGACATCAATTGAATTTACTATTGTAAATACCTGTATTAAATTAACTCTAAGATGTTCAGTTTCAAGTGGGTAAAGGCCAACCAATAAGAATGTGGTTCTACAGAAGGATGCTGAAAATGCCATATTTAGTGAGTAACAAGAAAGTTTTAGAGTACAGGGTAACAAAAAGGACACTTATATTTAACATCAAAAAGAAACAGTTAAAATTTCTAGGGCACATAATGAGGAAAGAAGGCTTGGAAAATTTGAGACCCACAGGACAGATTGAAGGCAAGAGGAACAGGAAAACAATGCATAACCTACTTAGTGAGCTTGAGTAAATGTATGGCAGAACTGGGTTTAAGAGAGATAACAAAAAGGCAAAATTTATTAACAGCTACAAAAGACAAGAAATTGTGGAGAACCATGATCGCCAATGTCCTGAAGAGACACAGCACATGAAATAATAAGGTATATTTTTAATTTCAGGAATCATGTTTGTAAAGTGTTTTTTTTTTTTTTTTTTTTTTTTTTTCTAGCTGTTATATATCACACTGTAAGATGACCACACACAGGAAGTATAGATTAAAATATGAACAATAGGACAACTGTTGAATTTTCAGTGGATTTATACTGGCTTTTAGTAAAATATTTCTTGAAACCTATGACATCAATTGAATTTACTATTGTAAATGCCTGTGTTAAATCAAGTTTCAAATGAGAAAAGGCCATAACTTTTATGTTAAAACATATTTTTAATTTCAAGAATCATTTGGGTAAAGCATTTTGTACTTTTTTCAGAGGACTCACTGCCTATTACAATTTTATGCTAAGGTCACTGAAAGTCCATTATACCAATCTTGTTCTGTTATTACAGGAGATGGAAATAAAACCCGCCGGGAAGCTGTTCGTCGGAAAACAGCTCAATATCTTATGAAAGCTGAGGAACTCTATAACAGACATCTTGCCAAAGACAGTAACGATGATAGAAGATGGGCCGTAAGTTGATCTGTCTATATGCAGTGTTATGTTAATGTTTTCATATATAAAATAATTGTTTATTCACTTCTGTACACCATCAAATTAAAATTGTCCAAATCAAAGTTATGTGGTTTCAGGTCTTTTTTCAACTATTTGATCTTCTTGTGAGCATTTGAAAGATTCTATCCCTCCCCTTATAGATTGAGTGTTTATATAATTTACTGTTAGTTGGTTGTCTTGAGTGTGTATATCCTAAATTCAGTTGGGTTTACAGTAAGGATATGGGTCTGTAGCTAATGGTAATCCTAGAGACAAAGGAGAAATCGACCAATGTGATAGGTCTTGCAGTGGCAGGTCAACTGCTGTTAACATTATAGTTGACAGAACAATCACTAATGCAAAACCCTGTGAAAGTCTTTGTGAGCCAGAGTAGTGATGCCTTCTCAAAATCATCTGGAAGTGCCCAACACAGCACTTGGAAGACAGTAGTTCACTTATGATGATGATGAGGAGGTGAAAATGGTAACTCAAACATGGCTAAGAAAGTATTCAAATAGATTCTATGAGTTATGTATATATACCCTCATTCAAAGATGGGATACCACAATTGATGAGAAAAGGTATTATGTTTAGGCATCCTGAAAATTTTGTGATCCTTTTGGTATGCTTCATGCACTTTTGCCATTAAACATTCTATAATTAAAGAAGAACAGGTATTACACTTTGATTAAGCCTTTTACTCCATTGAGAAGGAAGGAGACTATATTGATGACTAAATGTATTATAATTAAAAGAACTGTCTTCGTACTGGGATTAAAAGGAAAAGTAATGATTTGGGAAAATAGATTTCGAATCCTGAGACTTTTGTGTTCTTGGTCTGCTTTGGGTGCTCCTACTACTATTAAACCATTATCTGTTGTAAATAAAGAACAGACATTACCTTTTGACTGACCCTTCTGTCACAACTGAGAAGGAAGGAGACAATGTTAAGGACTAGATTTTAAATTTTAAGACCTTTCTGTTTATTTTGGTCATGGAGTGAAGGTGGTTAAAATAATAGCAATGTCAATAGAAAAATATGTCCTTTTGACACTCCATATTTTTTTTTGTTTTTTGTTTTTTCAGTCACAAAAGTTCATGTTTGCTTAAATCTCCAGTAACTAAAGAACAGACATTACCTTTTGACTGACCCTTGTACATTATCTCCTTCAGCATTTTACTACTGACAAAAGTGCTATTGATTTGTTATTTAAGTTTCCTGCCACTGTAATTAATTTTAAGTTGGTTGTAGAATTGTATTAGTTGTAAACGGTGTTGAAAGTTGAATTGGCAAAGCTGTGTTCCGATTCCAGCTGGGGCTGTTGCAATCATTTTGCACTAATGTCTTTGGAAAAGGAATGAATCTATTTTCTTCTCTTCTCAGCTATAACATAGGAGGGTAGACTAAGCTCTCTAGCCTTGGTTGACTACTAGTCTAGTGTAACATCTGTTGGTTCTGAGAGACGATGGATCTGTGGCCAAAGAGTCATGCCTCAGCTGCTGATAGCAATGCATCATCTGTTATGGTTGTACAGGCCAACATGGGAGTGACAGTCTCGTTTGTACTAAATGCATGCAAAGACGCTCTCCCCTAGTGTCGCTGTGTTGTTTTCTTTCTATCAAGCGCACTTCTCTCCAGCAGAAAGCCTCCATTTCTCCTCTCCTCACTCCGACTCTTGGTGTAAATTTTGTCTCCAGTGTGAGCAATCATTGGCGACGTTTTCCCATTTCTTGATGTTGATGTCCATCATCTTCATGTCCCTTTTACAGACATCCTTGATGCAAAGATTAGGTCACCCACTTGCTAGTGTCCAGTTCTCCATAGAGAAGGATCTTCATAATCCTTCCATCTGGCATATACTGTACATGTCCAAGCCAGCTGTTGGAAAAGTGTGTATAGGCTGGGTACTTGGGCAGTAGTCTAGGTAAAGAAAAATGGCGACAGAAAACCACTGCACTATCTTTCCAAAAACAATTATGGTAATACATAGTTCACATATATTGCAGAAAAGGAAGCTGTAGAGTGCCATCAACATCTACATTTTAAAAGGATGTGGCATTAGAAAAAAAATTCAAAAATAAAGATAAAATTGGAACTGGCATAAATTTAAAGAATTCAGTTAATATTTCATCTTGAGTTTTTTGTTGTCCACTTTTATTTTTCAGCTTGATTGTACATTATCTCCTCCAATGGAACTCGACCCTACTTTGGCATTTTTAAGGGCTCCCCTCTGTGAATTGCGAAATTACAAAGTGCTTGGAACTATTGATAAAGTGCTTCTTGTTTTGGAGAGGGGAACCAATGACACATATGTAATGAAAGTAAGTAAAATAAAACATTATTATCATTTATCATTATTATTATCATGATAATCATAATTATTATTATTATCATGATAATCATAATTATTATTATTATCATTATAATCATAATTATTATTATTATCATTATAATCATAATTATCATCATTATTATTATATTTATTTCTTTTGATTTCTGGCGTTTACACATAGTTGAGTCAGAATTAAAAAAAAAAAAAAACATAGATAAAGCCCTTAAAGTGTGGATTTTTAAATAGTTGGATATATTCCAGACTACTGGAACCTTTTCCAATGAATATTGGAATAATAATAAATTATTATTATTAAAATTTGGATAGATGAACAAACAGATGCTAATTCATTGTTTAGTTACTGGTGGACAGAGTTCATTATATAATTGAGTTAGTTAGATTGAGTTTGAAACAAAATCTTTTTTTTAAGAGCTGTTCTGAGTGATCCATAAATCTAAGAAAAGCATTATATAAATAACCTACAAAAGCTTGATAAGTCATAAAAAAAAACAAAAAACAAATCAATCAAACTGGTTATTTAAAACTAGAAAATATTTTTAGATTGTAAGAATTTGGGGTGGGGAGATAATAGCTGATACAAGTCCTACTAATTAACCCATAGCTGGGGAGAGAAGATGTGGATTCATACCTTTCCCAAGAGTATTTGTGCATAAGTGAATATAACAAATGCAGATGGAATTGGAACTTCCAATTCTGAGCTGTTATCCATCCTACCAATCTTGGTAGTGACCAAGCTTGATGTTACTTAACTTTGGTGATCATACAAGGACTGGTGATTCAACATGATATGGCTGTAAACTTGGTAACCAGTCCATGGGATGTTACTAAGCAATAGTGAACACTCTCGTGTGTTGGGTACTTGGTTAGCAGTGAGATTCTCTATTGTCTCTTTGTATACATCCATGAAAATGGAGTACTGCTGCCATATATGGATGGGAGCTGCCCAGTCTTCACTTTCCACTCTTGATAGTCCAAAAGCATCTTCCATCCTTGTGACAAATTATTTTTCACTCTTCAACCTCCTTTCTCACAGAGGATATGTCGCAAGCCTCTCAATGCTCTGTCACTGTTTCCATGGAGAATGTTCGGATGAACTACAATCCTTTGTTCCACCTGTTCTAACCTTCACGGCTAAGACCTGCCATACCATGCACATTGTAGTGAACCACCCTCATTCCCTTCCTATCCCCCTGGTGAGTTGTAAGTTCCACCCAAGCAGCTTCTTCCCCATGAACTACTGCCTAGTGGAACCAACTCCCAAGAGGCTGCTTCCCCAATAACTACAATCTTAACCTGTTCAAGACTAGGGTTAACCGTTATCTTCTATGCATATCTGCATAAACTGTGACTCTTACTCTGTAACCCTCTACTTCGAGTGGCCCTCGGGACTTGTACAGAGTGAACACCACTTTAAAAAAAAAAAATATAAAAATAAAAATTAACCTATTTATCATTTATAAATGACAAAAAAAAAATTTGATTATATTTGTTAACTATTCTTTAACTTTTTTTTTGCAGACCATCCACAAGTCTGGCACTGAAAGGCTTGACGTGAAAAATATATTGCCTAGTTTTTGTCCGTTTATGGTTCAACTCCACAAATTCTACGAAGGAACTGATGCGATATACCTGCTTCTGCAGTTTGCATTAGGAGGAAAACTCTGGAAATATATAAGCAGTTACTTACAGACAGGTGCTCAAGATAATTTTACTGACTACAGTGCTTCGGGGAGTGCAGGAGGTCGTAACATCTACAAAGGGTGCAAATTGCATAACTCATCAACATTCCACGAACAGTTACCACATTATAGTCCCAAAGAAAACTCACCTGATGCTAGTATAACTCATTCCAAAATTTCTGGTTTTGAGTCTTCAGCAGAGCAAAATATACCAAACAAAGAAAAACCAAATACAATTTCATGTGTGGCGGTGTTCTCCAACAAGGCTGATTCCGAACATGTTCAGTTTATCAACACAAGCTCTAAACATTACGACCAAAACATTTTAAAGACAAAAAACCAGGCTGAACATCCAGAAGATAATCGGCAAAATGTTCGAGCTCAGAGATGTTCAGAATTATCCCTTAGCGAGAGCCCAATAGACAAGGATGTTCTTTCAGCAAACAAATCCAATGAGTCTTTGAATATGGATCTTGGATCTGCTGGCAGGTTTCAGGATCTCTTGAGAAACACTGAAAATTGCTTGGAGAATTTTATTATTGCGAGTGACGAAAGCAGTGAAGTGAGATCTGAACGACACAGTAGCGGCTTTTCTGAGACTATTAGTATGATCCCTGAAGGTACTGAGACACTTTCTTATTCACCAAAGAGAGATAAAATGGACATTAAAAGTAATCATTTAGATGAAGTGTTTCTTTCTTCCCCACAAGAGTCTGGAGAAGGAGAAGATGACAAGCCAAATTCTACTTGGTCAAAATATTCACCCAAATTGATAAAAACTAGCAATCCGCTTTTAGGCACTGTGCATAATCCCAATGAAAAACTTTGTGTTGATTCTTCAATATCTGTGATAAAAACTGATTCAGCCGGTGCTTCGGCGGCTTGTATACATGAAAGCAATGACGGCTTTGATGACATTGAATCCAACAGAAACACTGAACCGCATGATGCTAACAAATACGCTGAAGACTTAACGAAAGTGTATTCTTTCTCCTCAAAAGAAACTCCCTTCCCCCAAAATGTTGACAAAACTTGCAAACCTTGCTCAGTGGAGGCCCTTCCCCTGTGCAAGAAAAAAATGGCACGACCCTTGACACCTCATGACCAAAATGTAAGCTATGATGTTGCATCTGGAAATGACTTAGCCGCTCGTTCTCAAAAAGCCATGAGTTGTAGTTGCTATGTGGCCAGAAATACAGAGCAAAACATGACGACCCATAAACATTCCTTTACAGAAATTTGCCGTTCTGCTTCTTTTGAAAGTAATCTGAAGTCACCATCTAAGAATAAATCTCGAAGAGTTTTTGAAGAACTGGATGGCATTGGTAATTGGCCATCAGAAGCTCTTTTACCAGAATCTTGCATAAGAAATTGGGCAGCTGAAATTGTAGTGGCACTTGCTTATTTACATGCTCAGGGAATTATTTGTAGGTAAGACTCCTGGAATAACCTCTTCTATACACTAATGTTTGAAAAAGTCTTGTCTTGTTGCTATGTTTTAGAAGTTTTATTGCATAAACTCTTCAAAATGTTATGTTTTAAAAGATATAATAGATCTGGTTTACACTTGACTGAAAAAAAGTAGACATAGATCTGGTTTGTACTAGAGACAAAAAGGTTGATGTAAATCTGATTTACACTAGATTCAAAAAGGTAGATGTAATGATATCTATATGTAAGAGATTGAGATTGTATAAAAGGAGGATTTTTTGCAGTTGCAAATAGTTTAAATAGGTAGACATCATTCCGGGTTTGCAGTCGAGTTTCAAAAGGTAGACATCATTCCGGTTTGCAGCCGAGTTTCAAAAGGTAGACATCATTCCGGTTTGCAGTCGAGTTTCAAAAGGTAGACATCATTCCAGTTTGTAGTCGAGTTTCAAAAGGTAGACCTTTTTTTTATACTCAAATCTGCAAGTATACACTAGGGAGGTAACTTCTTTTGGAAGGGTCATGCCTTTCTACAGAGGATATAGTTCACACCCCACTAACAGAGCAAAAACAATAAGTATACATACCAAATTTAAGGGCTGTATATTAAAGGGTTTGACCATATACAGCAAGTAGACAGACATGCACACACACACACACACACACATATATATATATGGCATCATCGACTGTCTGTTGTAGTCAACGAAAGGCACTTACTGCCTTCATTCCAACACACAGGACTTTGACTCTTCATTGTCTGCACTGGATTATAGTGCCAAATTTTTATTGTGCACTAACAGCAGCATTTCTTGGTTTGACAAGCACCAGATCCTATGACAAGCCAAAGCAGTACAATGGTGGCATTAGGCAAATGCCTTGTAGTAGCATCTTAACTGTACTTGGTATTGCCAACCATTGGTTCTGCTGGAAAACTCATCTGCCTGCCAAAGGGAGCAGTCCTGACCAAACATTCTGATGCAGACTGGCCTCAGTAACTGCAATCCACCAACCTGGTGCCACTGGTTTCACCATATCTCTGGCATGGGGAACCTAGGGGTTAAGATTTGCTCACGGTCTTACCCCAATATATTGAAGAGAAGGAATCGGTTTATATCTTCAGTGGTGAGCTGCAATCAAAGATTGGTCTCATCCCACTGCCAGAGATAGATGACTTTTTTCTTTCTTTTTTTTTTTTTTTTTTTTTTTTTTTTTTTTTATCAATTCATCCCAAGCAAGGTGATAATACCACTATGACACAAGGAGCAACTGAGAGTGAAAGAGAATGAGAAGACTTTAGAAGGAACCAGAAACCAATCCTAAACAGTAAACAAGGGATAAACCTCTACTCCTGTTCAAAATAATGGAGAGAAGTAAATAAATAAACACAAAATAAAAACAAATCTTAAAACTACCAAATTCAATGCAAAATGACCCTTGGGGATTGGTGTGCCGGTAAAATAACCCATCTAAATCTACTTGTATTGAGTAAAAAAATAAAATATAAAAGTTTAAGTGGAGATTTTAGCAGTATAGAGTTGAAGTAGTCTAGAAGGAATTAGAAACTCAATGCTAAGCAGGAAACAAGGGATAAAACTCTGCTTCCTGTTCAAAAGACTGGTGGTGTCTTTTCTTTTTACATTTAAGAAGTCCACTATTTCCAGGCTAAAGTATGATAACAAGAAAGAAAAGAAAAAAGGGATGACTAATAGATTTTTTTGACTAATACTAAAGTTATTATCTTTTGATTTTTATTTACACTATTTGCATTGTTCAAACTGTTGTCCTTGTCATTTTTATTGCCATATTCATGATGTTTCAGCCGTTGTACACTTTAGCTGAAATGTTGGGAATGTGGCAATAAAGATTAGGACAACAGTCTGAACAGTGTAAATAGTGCAAATTGTTACAATACTTCATCTCAGAAATATAGACACATCCTTAAATAAAACAGGAGTGTACAATAGCTGAAACATTGGGAATGTGGCAATAAAGACTAGGACAACAATCCAAACAATGTAAATTTACCTCATCTCAGAAGTATAGACAGGTTTAGATTTTATAGGGAATTTTTTTTTCACTTTAGATGCTTCATCTGACCGGCCCTTTAATCTTCAACATATTATTTTCCTTGCAGAGATTTCAAACTACTGATTACTGTCATTCAAATTTAACAAAATAGCTAGTCTTTATTTTCTCTGACTGCTTGATAAAGTGCCTGCTAAATTCTTTATATTTTAAATATATTATTTTTCTTGCAGAGATTTAAAGCCAGCCAATGTATTGCTTGGTGATAAAGGTCATATTTTGATAACCTACTTTTGTCAATTGAACAATGTGGACAAACTGTTGGATGAATCGGCAGTGGAAAACATGTACACAGCACCAGGTAAGGACATTCATTGATTTAGTTTTTTAACTTTGGTACCATCTTCAAATTCGGTTTGGTCATGTGACCTCTTCATTACTAATTTGATAATATTTATCCTATCAGAAATCTAAAATTCGAGTTTAAACTTACAAATGTAACATGCCTATTTGTTGACTTGAGAATAAATAAATAAATACTCATGTACAATGGGCATGTTAATTTTTGGTATTGGGCACATTAGTCTCCATAAATATTTTCCTCTCAATGTTCAATCCACTGTAACCCACTCCATGTGCCATAATATATGATGCCGGGAGTCCTGCAAACACTGAGACTTTAGCTACAAACAGTGAGACGTAGAGAGACAATATTTACGGGATGGTTTGTGCATGTTGAATGCTAAAGGGTTAAAGTCAAAACACATTTCAGGCACATGATTATTTTGTAGCAGTTGATATAATAGTGTGAATTTCATACATGAAATATTATTATCATTATTATTTTTAAATAGTTTTTTCCTCTTTATTTTCATTCCTTGACATATACTAATAGTAGTAGACATAATAGTCTGGTCTGAATTCCTTACTGAAATATTTTTTAATAGTATTTATTTCCTCTTATTTTCATTGCTTTCACACCTACTAATAGCAGTAAATATGTTCAACTTTCTTACATGGAGTATTATTTTTATTACTATAAATATTATTTTAGTGGATAATGTGTTTGAATAGACATCCCTATTTTTCAAAAAGTGAAATTAATGTCCACTGCCCTAGACATAGAAAGTCTTATTAAAAAAAACTGTACCTTTTGGCAGGAATCAAACCTGTATATGCTTATTCCAGGAAAACCACCCCTTAGCCAGACTTACTCGTCATAAGTTGTCTGAATTTCTCTCTTGAAGTATTATTGTAATTAACTATTAAAAATAGTTTTTCTGATTTTCATTGCTTTCATGGTTGTTGATACAGTAGAAATACAAGAGATGCATATGTCATCAGTTCCCATGTAGGCATTTATGCAGTTGACACTACCATTTACTTTTGTCTCAATAGCAAATCTGTCAGAGCTGACTAAGTTAACCTGGCCGCTGCTGTTGAAAAGGACCTACTTATCAGTGGTTAACTGGGGCAAGAAATAACTTGTAAATTTTAATGAATCTGCTCTCATTCAACCATTGTAGAGAATATTTCCTGCCCACCATTAGTATGGCTGATGCTAGACTCCTGGAGAGCAACACGCTGCGTCGTCTTGGCCTCATGTTTTCATCTGACTTGAAGTGGAATGACTACATTGAATCAATAGCTGTATCTACTGCAAGGAATATTGGGTCACTGTGTTATACAGGAAGATTTTTCTCATCAGAGTCCATCTTGACCATTTACAAATCTATCATTTGGCCGTGCATTGAATACTGTTGCCATATCTGGTCAGGTGCTCCTGCTACTCATCTTGAGGTTCTTGACAAAATCCAAAGAAGGATCTGCAATGTAATCTTGATTTGGCATCTCGACTTCAATCATTTTCTCAGAGTGATGTGGCTTCCTTTCTACAAATATTTTCATGGCAATTACTCTAACAAGCTTTTTCCCCTGGTGTCCCAACTACATAAATTTAAGCATGCTACTAGATTGGCATCAGTTAAATTAGTTAAATGTAACTACCACTTCTACTCCAACAGTTTCTTTTCTCGCACTTTCCGCCTAATACCTTGACTTTACGAATGTAAGCACAGTACTAGACCTACATTTGATCATCTTACAGTTGATATGGCTAGATGTAACTAAGTTCTATCCAAACAGTTTCTTCACTCGCACTTCTTGCTTGTGGAACTCTTCCTGCTTCTTCCTTTCCAGTCAAGTTTGATCTTCAAAAATTTAAATCTTGCCAATCATTATGTTCTCTCTTCTTAATTCTTGTTCTTTTATTTTTCTCTTTCCTTAATAGTGTTTTTCTTTTTCTCATATTCTTTCACACTCTTGTGTCTTAGCGGCTTTATTATCTTGTTTTGGGTGAAATGATTAAAAACAAAAAAAATTCTGGTCTCAAGTGGTTAAGGAATATATTCACTGAAATTTAGCCTAAAGCCAATATGGCTGTGCTACAGCAGTGGAAAAGTGACTGATGCCAGGTCAGAACCAATAACATTGCAGAGTTTTCAGTTTTGCTTAAAACATTTTATGAACTGTTCTAAAATTTATTTACTTTATGTACACTTGTTAAGATTAAATTTATCTTATGTTTAATTGCAGAGCTTCGTACCATATCCAGTTATACTGAAGTCTGTGATTGGTGGAGTTTTGGTGCCTTGTTGTATGAATTACTTTCTGGAAAGGTATGTGCTTGGTTCTGTTGTATGTACACTTCTTTGTAGATTTTCTCATAGACAACCATTGTGACATTGTGTAACTTCAAAAGACAAAGGAAATATTTAATAGCTTCATTTTGTCAGTAACGCTTAACAGTAGGTATTTTTATTATTATTTAAATTATGATATTTCAATATCCTGTCCAATTTTTTTTCTTTTACACCATAGATTTTAAGCTTAAGAAATAAATCTGACAGTGACTAAAAATGACTTTTTTTTTTTTTCTAAAACATAGGTGTTAAGCTTGAGAAATAAATTTAACACTGTTTTTATTTGGAGGGGGGACATAGTTTAAATTCTACTCATCAAAAATGCTGTGGGTGATACACCATGGGCAAATGGCCTGAAATCAGAGATCAATGATGCCGTATTGTGTCCCAGTTTTCTGTTTGTTTAAACCATTCTGCTAAGTCTGATGAGTCCATTAATTTCTGTTCCTTTCTTTGAGACAATATACAAGGCGAATTTGTTTTTGAAGTTACATTCTTCTATCCTCTGCTTAAAGAGACAGGGCATACAAGACAATAGGTGGTTGGATTGGTAAGGTCTGGCAGAATGTCCAACCATTAACATGAAGAAGATCTCTTTAGTATTTCAAGATATTTTTGTATCATTTTGATAAATATATTTGTTAAAATGAGGTGAAATGTCAGTGTTATTTTCACTTTTGCATAATTTAGACGACAATTTAATCAAGAAATCCTGACAAAACTAAAAAAAAAAGATGTCCTGCTCAGACTTCATTCAATTCTAACAAATTTTTAATCCTATTTTGTCAAAACTACATGAATTTAAAATTAATGAAAGATTGGCATCTCTTTAGTTAATGTAAAAACTTATAACTCCAACAGTTTCACACTGGGTGAAGAAAGGGAATAGGGAGAGAAGATGGCAATCTTAATGCTCAGATTCGAGTGGGTGTTGACAATATTGATGTCATATAGTTAAGAGTGGGGGACAAAAAATTTTTTGGAAAGGTGAGTAAGTGGTTGTTGATATGTTGTGAACAAGAATGAAGTAAAAATATGGATTGAAACCTATAAAATGAGATGAGGATCCTGAGAGGATTGGAACCTGGGACAACTTAACTAAAAAGCAGTAAAACTTAGAGGTTCCCATTCTTAAACACCTGCAAAGAGACAAACTGAAGATAGATTTGTGCATTCTCAAAATTTACCCTGTTGGGATTGTTTTTAAAAAAAATCTTATGTGGGTTAATCCCATTTTGCAAATTTTTATTTTATTACATGATTACCAGCTGAGTCATTAGGTGGGTGATTGTTGCTGGCTAGGGGTCAGCAATTCCCCCTTGATGGAAATGGCTGGATTCTTAATAAAACTAGATGGTAAAAAATGCTTTGATAATAAGCTTCATTCCAGTTCTTGTTTTGATTGCAATCAACATCTACATGACTGCTAAGTGTTCAACGGACACATAGACAAAGGTCTTTTTGCAAAAAGACCTGCACAAAAGAAAGGGAACACATTTCTTTCTATACATTCTATTAGGTCTACTACTTAGAGTATTGAAGTAATATCACTGCTTCTGGTCACTCTTATGTCAAGTAGAGAGTAATGCCCACAAGGTAAATAAACTTATATACTCATCTATGCATATATATATATCATTATAATAAACCAAATTTTCTATCCATCACAACTTTTATTACAGTATATTGTTATAATTTTTCTATTTTATTAGTTCTTGTTAATCTCTTATTGTGCATGTTAAGATTTACAGTAAGAATTAATTTTCTAACTGTCACAACTTTTATGACACTATATTGTAGGAACCTCTATTTTTTTCACTGAAAAAGAGAATACTATGATGAAAAAAGCCCCCAAACTTAATGAAAACAAAGTTTTTATCACCAAAATGTTTGCTATTATTAAGAGGAAAGACCAAAGTATTTTTTTTTTTATTGATTTTATTAAATTTTTTTATCCTTTCTAGCATATTTGAAATTTTGGTTGAAAATCTCATTTTTTTTTGTTTTTTGCATCTGCAAAATGGGCCAATGTGTACTATGGTAGTTTTTGTGCCTTTTTTCTGATAAAAAACAAATTGATTTTGAAATTCTTGCAAAAATCAAATAGTTATCAGATTTTAATGAAATTTTCAGGACTTCTTCACAAATGAATTAGATTATTTTTTTTTTTTTTTTTTTTTTTTTTTTTTTTTTTTTTACATTGTTATACCACTTATTTAAATTTATGAAATTTTGATAAATTAAAATTTCAGTTTTCATATTTATATTAGTTAAAAGCAGGACTCCTTGGAGAATTTAAATCATCAATTTGTTTTTGTCAAACAGAAACACCATTTACTGAAAATCTGCTCCAAATCATAAAATAAAAAATGCAATAAAACTATGACATTATTTAATTAGGAAAGCTTTTAATTGCTTTTTATGAATAAGATATATTAAGGACACTATTGTCTTAAAAAAATCTTTTGCAATGAATTTTAATTTAAAAAATTTTTCATTTTTTGTTTTTTTTTTTTAAAAAATTTTAATTAGAAAAATTTATAAAGTTTTAAATCTTTTAAAATTCTGTATTAATTTCAGCCTTTTTTAGATTATATTATTATTAAGTAAAAACTATATTTACTAATCATAAAATGAAAAAGATTAATACATTTCATCAAAACAATATTTTTAAAAAATTTTTGATTTTTTTTTTTTTTATTTATAAACATTCTATTTTTGTAGATATGGGCGACCATACATGACATTATCAGAAAATAAGAGCAATAACTATAGTAAATTTAAAAGTCAAAATTTCTTAAAATTCAATAAAACATTAGATTATAGGGAATATTTTCCAAAACTTTTAAGATTACTGAGTACTTAAAAATTATATAAAAAAGGCACTCATGTCATTTTCTTAAATTATGTTTTACCAATAAAATCTCTGTAGAACAACAATCAATCTGTCATCACCTTGTTATCACTCATCAAACATAAACATGGCTACTGTTGGTTAACATCACAGCTACTGTTTGGTTTAAAAATGTATTTCTACATTATTTTCTAAAGTAAATAATATTTGTTTCAAATCAGATTAATTATACCTTAAATCATCTAATATTCCACAAAGGAAGTTTTAGAAAAATATATTTTATTTTTGGAAGATTTTTTTTTTAATAAAGAGAATTATATTGTGATAAAAGCTAACTATAAAACGGCTCTAATCAGCTATTTTAGCAAAAAAAAATCCTCCTTCCAGTCAATTTAAATTAGTTTTTGAAATACAGCAAAGTATTTTGTTTATTGGAAATATTAAATTTAATCTATGAGCTTGAAATTAAAACTAAAATAAGTCAAGAAAGATTTTTCATTTTTAAAAATTCATTTTAAACCTTAGGTATCTTTTTTTTTTTTTTTCTTTTTTTTTTGTATTTAAAAAGGTTTTTTGTATATTGTATATAATTGTTATTTTAATGCTTTATTATTGTTGTTAATTTTTATTTTTTAATAAGATCTACACTCAGAATGAATCTTCTATCCATCACATAACTTTTCTTACAGTCTATTGTTAACATTGTTCCGATTTATTTTTATTGTTGTTAATCTTTTATTGTACCTTATAAGATCTATGCTAAGAACGAATCTTCTATCCGTCACATAACTTTTCTTACAGTCTATTGTTATAATTGTCCAACTCTTATTGTACCTAATTTATAAATAAAACTTTATCAAAGATATGTATGTATATTATATATATTATTATGTATATTATACATTGGGTGCAGTACTATCCATAGTTTCTGGCATCTGTTGGTTTGGGATCTTACTTCCCCCATAATAAATGAAAAATGAAATAAATCACCCTGTCTGTATTCTTTTGTTTAGAAAAATTAAAAAAAAAGGATGAAAAAAAAAAAAAAAATTGAAATATTTTTTCATTTTGAGTGATTTAATGGTTTATTTCTTCTTCTTTGAAGCGCCTCTCATCAAGTCACAGAATGGAGGAATGAATTTAACTTTAGAACAATCTCATACCCATTATTGATATGGGAGATTAATAATCAAAGGAAGCACAAGGAATTTTGGAAGAAGTATATAAAACCTTATTTCTTCTCTTTGTTAAATTTCTGTTTGTTCTGTAGGGAAATATATTTTACATCTACTCTTTAGATGATGGAATTTTTTTCTAGAATTAAAACAAAATACATATTTTTCTGACAAAAATGATTGCATTAATTCCTGACAGTAGAAATTCCCCTTTTTTTCAGGTTTTCTATAATAAAATTATTTGCAACATTTTTTCATGTTTTGCTATTTTCAATTTTTTATAGTAAAATTGAAATTAAATATCTGAATACATTCAAATAAATAAATTAGTTTTTTTTTTAAATGTGTCCGTCCATTTGTTTTTCAATCTCAGTGAATCATAAACAATCTGAAGTAACAGCTAGTAACTACAGTAATTACACGTGATTAAAAATTAAATAAATGACTCATTTAAAGTTAAATTTAAATATTGAACAGAATGAAAGATTTAAAAACAACTCTTTATTAAAGGTTTAACTTTAATTTTACTTTTCATTGCAATTGTTATCATCTAATTAAAAAACATAAAATTTTTTAAAATTTATCTGGGGAACAAAATTGCTCATATTAATTTTTTTTTTGGATTAAATGCATACTGTGACAAATATTCAAAATATTATATAGTTCAGATTCCTTAATGTCTAAAAAAAAAAGTGACTTTATATGAAGAGCTATTTTAAAGAATGTTGATTTTAAAAGAAAAAAAATTTGATAAAAAAAATAAATGTAAAATAAAACTACAAATCATTACAAATTGAAAAAAGATTATGGTCAATTAAAACTCAAATCAAATAAAAGATAAAAATAATTTTTTTTTCTAAATTTTTTTTATACTTTTTTCATAGGACACTGAATTAAAAAAAGTTAAAAAAATATATAAAATTTTAGGAATAGCCTAAAAGGGCAACTTTTAGGCAAATTATGTTATTATTTAAATTAATGGTGAAAACCCAACCAAACTCAAAAATTTCATGTATTCCATAAATATAATCATCAATGATGGAATTTAAACAATTGATAATTGCATGAATTTTTTAATGTTTTTAAAAGTTGTGGTTGGCCACTAAGAAATAGGAATTCCAAAAAAAAAATTTTAAGAATTGCCAATTAATGAAATTGAGCTCTCTTCTGATTGTTGTTTCTAATGCCATTTCCCTGATGAAATCTAAAATCTTTTATTTAAATTATATAATTTTAAATCTTAATTGTTAAATTTATTAGATTATGTGTATTTGAAAAGAAAATGCTCTGTTTATTTTTTAAACAGTATTTTATTTTTATCTACAAGCCTGACTATTCAAGAAAAGTAAAATGTGCCTTCCTGCAATATTTGAACCTGTGTTCCCCCTTTGCAGGAGAAACTGTCATTAAATTTGACATTAATAAAAATAAAGAGTGTCATCAATTAAGATAAAAGGTTGTATTTCTTAAAAAAAAAAGATGAATTAGGTTCGAATCTTTCCAGATGGTGCATTTTACTTTCTTGAATATTCAGGCTGGTAGGCAAAAATAAAATGCTGTTTAAAAAATAAACGGAGCAGCTACTTAAATATGGGTATCCATTAAAAATAACGATTTAAGTGATAAAATTATGTCAGATGAATAAACAAAACCTCCATTACTTTAGAAATTTTATTTTTGTTTCGGATAAAAAAGTGAGCAGTTATGAACTTTTAGGGAATCTAAACGAGAAAAATGTGAATAAAGGCAGTATACAACTTTGCTTAATCGCTACACTCATCATGACTGAGTTGGTTAAAAACACATCAGATCTAATAATGATTTTCTCCTACAAAAAGGCACAAGTTTGTTTCCTGTTGGTGGACACCTATTTTTTCTTTAATAAAACTTCTTGATTATTCAGGCTGGTAGATAAAAATAAAACATTACACTCCTTTACATAATGATTTTAATTACATTTACATTTTTGTAAAATTGTGTCTTGGGTATAAAACGATAAACTACATCCTATTCTTTTTTTTAAGTTATGAACTGCATCCAACAGCAAGGCCTCTGATAATAAATTTTTGAAAAAAAATATGTTGCCGGCTGTATTATTTTTAAAAAAAATAATATTGCCAGCTATACGTTTTACAAAAAAAAAATTTTGTAAATTGTTGTATGTTTTTGAAAAAAATTTGAAATTTGTATGTTTTAAAAAAAATAATATTGCCAGCTATATGTTTTTGAAAAAATATTATTACACCTTATAATTTTTTGAAAAAAAAAATATTAACAGAAATATTTTTTTGACAAAACAAAAAATATTACCAAAAAAAAAAGTTATTTGACCAAATTTGACCCATTGTTTAATTTTAAAAAAAAAAACAAAACAAACCAAACCAAAAAATATGGGATATTCTATTCATACGAATCTATCCTAAAAATGTTGTTAGCATTAAATGAACCATTGAGGTTGATGTGCCATAAAACAAACCAAACCAATACATGCCTATATATTGTATTAATCCAGATTAGATAAAAATAGCTTATTTAAATAGAAAATTTAATGATGACGTTATAAGATATTTTAACTTATGGAAAACAAGCTGGCTTTCTGATCTGGACCTAAAACCAGAGTACTCTTCAGTTACTGTGTGATTATCAAAATAGTCTTACATTCTCACCCTCACTAGACCCACTAGTTGTGACTTTGCTGTCAGAGTCCACGAAGCTTAGTAAATACCTTGATGTCTGTGTTGTGCAGCTGTAGTCAGCAAACTAATTTTGCAAACCCTGGATTCAATCCTTACTGAATCCACCATTATTGTGCACTGTGAAGCAAAGTTTGTTTAATATCAATTGTACAGTTAATTTCTCAAATTGTTATCTTAAATTTGTTATCCTGGGTATCCAAAAAAACTACATAATCTTAAAAAGTCTCTGATCGGGAGATTGAAGGTAAAAAGGAGCATATTTTTAATTCTTAATTGTGATGTTGTTCCCAGGTCCACCTTGACCTGGGGTGTTAACACCTGTTAGGGTCCCAGCTATGAGCAAATACTGAACTCTGAAATGAAAAAAAAAAAAAAAACACTATAAAATATAAAAATACATTTTTTATAGTAAAAATATCAGCAATACATTTTTATATTAAAAAAAAAAAATGACCAACAATACATCTTTAAATCAAAATGACCAACAATACATCTTTAAATCAAAATGACCAACAATACATCTTTAAATCAAAATAACCAACAATACATTTTATCTGTGGTTGAAGGCATACAATTTCACTCAAAATATTTAGATTTTGGCATTAAATACCTGTAGAGGTTGATATACAGCTAAACAATCAACCAACATGAAAGAACTCTTTCATGATATGAATCTATATAATATCCTACAATTTCTTAAAGAAATCAAGCTGCATTTGACACTATAACTTAAACAAAACTATAACATAAAACACACATATCACCATGTGTAGAAATTATGTCCACACACACTAACTCACACACACATACACACACACACACACACACATATATATGTACTAAAGCTAAGTATTATCTACCATCTATTCAATTGTGAAAGCAAAATAAAGTTATATTTTTATTACTTCAAAGCTCACAATAGAATTAAATTTAGGCATTAAATAACCCATAATGAATTCATATGCCATTAAACAGACAAAGAAATCAATCTTAATTCTTGTTCTTTTAGTGTCTCTCCTTAATAGTATATTTTTCTCATATTTTCTAACACTCAGTTGCATCTTAGAGGATTTATTATCTTGCTTGGGGTGAAATGATTAAAAAAAAATGCAATGCCAATCACCATCTTCTGTCTTCCTGAAACCTGTTCTTTTATTGTCCTTTCTCCTTACTTAAGTCTTCTCATTCTCTTTCACTCCCAGTAACCCCTTGCATCTTAGTGGCATTGCCTTGCTTGGGATGAAATGATTAAAAAAAAATTGGGCATCTATCTAAAGACTAGCAGTTAGTCAAATAATTTTTCAAATTATTAGTACTGGAGTGAGTTTAATCCTCATTGGGTACCCTAACATTGTAGCCTTTTTGCCCTTCTAAGGTTTTTCTTCTACGTAGCATATCTCTTCCGGACATCAACGATCATGCTCTTGAAAACTTATTATCTTTCTCACTCTCTGTTTTGCCATCCATTTACACAAGTTTGTTAGTTTCCTTTTGCCTTCAATATATCTTGTTAGTGTTATATTCTCCAAGTTCTCTCTCCTCATTAATTTCCAAGAAATTTCAACTGTCACTTTCAGATTTTAAGTTTAATTGCCATTTCTGTTTCAATTTTTCTTTAAAAACTTTCTTGTTTCATAAATGCTCCCACTGTGATATTCTCAGCATGGAACCAAAAAACTCAATTTTTTTTCTTTTTTCTTTTCAGCTGTTGTGTTACAATCCAAGAGAACGTCTTGGCAGCGGAATAAATGGTGCTGAAGACATCAAGGCTCATCCTTTCTTTGCTGGCATCGACTGGAATTACTTAGAGAACAATTACAATTAAAACATCCACTGATGACTCGTTAACTACCCTGCTGTCAGTTTTCTTTAAGTTGATAAGAAAAACAAAAAACAAATCAAATCAAACCAAAAATCTGCCCACCAAAGCTGGGGTTGGGGGGGGGTTCTTAAGAGTTGGGGTTTGAGGCGGTGGAGATGATGTCAAACAAGAGGTGAACACACCAATCCTGGGGACCAATTTTAATGATTTGTCAGAATTTGTGTTGTCCTGCTTGTGCCTATGGAAAATTGTTGTCGTAAAAATAAAACGAAAAATTGCCATTATCAGCTCGTCTTTGCCCAGATGTTGACATAAAAAGACTAAATAGGAAAAGTAACTAAAGAAAAAAAAAATAAGAAAAGAAGCAAACAAATCAAAAGCGGAAACAAAAGGAAGAAAAAAAAAAAAAAAAGAACCTTGTTGCTGAAAGAAGGAAAGTGTGTGTGTGTATGTGTGATAAACATGTGCTGACAATTAAATTATTGCTGTATGTAGACGTCACAACAGTATTTTAAATTTTTTTTTTTTTTTTTAAACCTTATCATGGAATCTGAGGTAAATGGAGAAGGGGTTCAATCCCTTCCAATGTCTACTCAGAAAAGATTAATCATCTTTCATTATTAAAAATATCAACACATTAACAATTGTCAAATGCTATTCCTTGAATGTCTGTTTCATATTTCATGTATTTTAGAGACCTGCCAATCATTGTTTTCATGTCAAAATGTTTTAAAATCTTTTCTGGTCATATATGGCTTTTTTTTCTTTTTTCTTTTTTTTTTTTTTTTTAAGTGATTTTACCTCATAGAAAAAAAAGATTAATTTATTTTTTTCATAGTAAAGGAATCAGCCAAACTTTCTATGTAGTTTTTATTTCTTAGATCTGAGTTCTTTTTATTTTTTTTTAAACAAAAGCGATCTTAAATGGATTGGTTAATGTATTTTCATTAGATGCATCTAATAGTTATAACTTTTCTAGTTAAATGTGATATATTACAATTGCAGATAAGAAAAATTGTTTTCTTGCCTATAAAAAAAAATTAGCCAAAGTTTATTAGCAGTTTGATTTTTTAGATCTGTGAGTTTTTATTTTAATTTTTTTAAAGAAAGGTAATATTAGATGACTCAGTTAATGTCTTATTATTGAATTAACTGCATGTAATAAGTTAATCCTCTTTTTTAGTTAAATATGATTCTTCTTTTTTTTTTTTTTTTGTAATAGACATAACCATACAATTATGCAGTTGGAAAGAGAAGAAAAATTGTTTTCTTTGTTATAAAAATAAATTAGCCAAAGTTTATATACAATTTTTTTTTTAAGGATAATGATTTTAAATGGATTGATTAATGTATTTTCATTGGATTAGATGCGTCTAATAAATTAGTCATATCTTTTCTAATCAAATGTGATATACAATAGCAGAGAAGAAAAAAAATTGTTTTCTTGCCTATAAAAAGAAATTAGCCCAATTTATATAGAATTTTACCTTTTTTGTTTTAACATTGATTGTCAACCATAAGATAACTCATTATCAGCTTCATAATGAAAATTGCCAACAACCATGCTTGGCATTTTTCTTATATCATTTCATGTGTGACCACCAACAATGAGTCTATTAGCAGTGATTCTTTTAGTGTGAAAACAATGTTAAGACTTCAATTGAGGCTATAAATCAATTCATAAAAATGTTTTATTACATAAGTTGGCTTATTGTAAAATCCGAGTTTGAACTCTGCTTTCCTAATTGACCTCTGACAGTGAAGGGGTTAAAGGAAAAGTAATTTTAAATGGTTTGGTTGATGACTTTTTGCATCTAATAAATTAATCGGTTTTATCTAAGCTCTTATCTTGTATGTTATCATTAAATTGTTTGATGAATATACAAGGAATTCTTCGAAAGTAACATTATGAATTTGCCAGCTGCTCTTCATTTCATGAGTTCCCAGCTGTTTACAGCTACCACAAATAGGGCTCGTCACACAGCTGTTGCCACTGCTGAAACACATTACTCACCACCTGTGTTCACATTCATTGTTTAGTCTCCATAAACATTCATAAATGGGTGTAAGTTTTTTTTGCATAGATGAATTCACACCTCTGTTTTGTACCCACTTTCATGACTGATGATATTTTACCACTGAAAGTTTTAACAAGACAAAATGATAGGTTATTAGCAAGAAGATTCAACCTCTAATGCCATTGTTGCATTCCATGTCATCACTGGTTCCAGATCCCTACACCACTTCATATCAGCAAAAGATGATTTCTTTTTATTTGTTTTTTGCAACTGACAGATGTGGTATCATCGATTCGTGGAGATAGTGGGGGGAGATGAATGCCTGCTTGTTGGCTTAGCATCCATCTACACACAGTTTTAGCCTATCAAACATGGGTGTGGGAAGTGTATCAACACTTTGAAATTCCTGCATACCTCTGCCAACTTTGTGCTGTTTTGGTCATGTATCCAAAACTTAGACAAAGGCAATCCATCACTGTCAGAATACCATACTCACAAGGTATTCTAACCATCCTGGCCCAGACTCTGCATTCAGTAACATCATTATAGTCAGGATGTGTGACAGTTGCAGTGAAAACTCTATGTATAACTTAAATAAATGGTTCAAAGCTTTAACTATAAAAAAGGTATTTTCTATCTTCGTTATTATTGATATTTTCATATTGATTAAATAGATTGAATTTTTTTTTTTACTAGTCTTTCTTTCGTCTATTTTCTGTTGCTTTTCATTGCAATTCTCAAACCATCATGCTACAATCATTAATGAAAATAAGATTTGAGATAGGTCAGAGGTGAGATTATCTTGAATTCTTTTAATTTAATAAATTATATTTAATATATAAAATTCTGTGACTTCTATTAATCCATCTGTCACACCCTCTAAAATAGCCATACATTGACTGATCGAAACCAAACCTTAAGAAGTGCAAGCAAGTACAAAGTACAATTGGTTTTACTAAGGTGTGTTGCTTATTTCAATAAATTTTCATTATTTTTTTTTTTTTATTTTTTTTCAAAAATTAAGTTTTATTATCTAACATACAAAATATTTCCACTATTTTAAAAACAATTTAATGATTAAAATAACAAATATTTATTTAATAAAAATGCAATATTGTTTTTTGCATCTCTTTTCTTTAAGTTTTTATATACAAGAATCCAGTTTCCAATTCACCATACGTTTGTGAGAACTATAAACAAATCACAAGGCCAGACGCTTCAAAAAGTTGAAATTTGGTTCCTGAAAGAAATATTTATGCATGATCAGCTGTGTGTTGCATGTTCCAGAGTAAGAAATCCTAAGAATTTATTCTTTGCTGTTACAAAGGAAAAAAAAAGAAATTTTCTTAAAAAATATTGTTTGACATGAAGTTCTATTAAAGAAATTATTAAACTGTGAAGTAGGTTTTTTGTCAAAGTATTTTTCCAAACATCAGCTTATTCAAATTTCATTGATTGGTTTGTGAAATTGAACAAAACATTGAGTTTGTAAATCTTGACAAAGAATGTTAGCGATAATTTCAACTATGCTAAATATATTGAGGATTTCAACATGCATCAGCATGTTGCAAAAAAATTCTAGCAATAAATAAAAATTGACATGATTGGTGTCTTGCAGCTGATCTCGTTTAATAGCTAAGTGGGGGTGGAGGAGTAAACAGGCTCTAATTTTCAGGTCATTTCATCATTACCAATCAGATCCTGGGAATTTATCTAGTCACAATAAACAATTCCACTCTCAATGAGGCTCCCCCACTTTGAATGTCTGTTAGGTCTCAGTTTCACTCCAGATTTCAAATGGAATTCATATTTGATCCATTGCTAAAGATGCTGAGAATAATGGTCAGCTTATTTTGTCGCTCAAAGTAGTACCTAACTCTTTCTGCCATACTTGATCTCTACAAGAGTCAGATTAGCCCCCAAAATAGAATATTGCTAATACAATAATCTTGTACATTGTTTCATTATCCTCAATCAAGTCTTGTGTTTTCTCCAGTCTTGATGAGGCTCCATGCTTTGAATGTCCGTTCGGGTCTCAAGTTCACACCACACCTCAAATGGAATACATATGTACAATTCATATCTAAAGATACTGGGTAAATGTTTGGCTCATTCTATTGCACCAAGAAGTATCTGACTCCTCCTGCCAAGTTTTATTTATCTTTGCAAGTCAGATGAAACCCAAAATCGAGTATTGATGCCACATTTTGATTAGAACTGTTCAATCCTCACTTTTCAGCCTTGATAGAGTCCAAAATTATTTATGCAGCCTTGTTGGTGTATGTGGTGGTGGGTGATATTCTTCACTCTGTAGCCTCTTTCCCACAATCAATCAATATTCTATTGCTATTTCCATTGCAAATGTTCAGATGAGTGCTCCATTCCTTAGTTCCATCAGTGCAGAACTTTACAGCTAGGAGATGCCTTGCTACTTCCACAGAGTAATCACCTTCATTTCCTCCGTGTTCCAAAAGTAAGAAAGTTCAACTCGGACAGATTTTTCCCAAGAATTGACACGTGGAACAAACTCATGCGTTGGTGCTTTCTTGATCACTACAATCTTTAGTCAGAGGTCAGTTGTTATCTATCCTCATAATCTTTACTTCCTACAACCTTCTCTTACATTCATATCACACACATCCTTCATCATAACCATTTTAACAATAACCCTTTACCTTGAGTGGCTCTCAAGTTTAATATTGGGTGAATCTTAGTCTTAAAAAAAAAAAATGAACAATAAACTCTTGGTAGGATTTGAACTCGAATCCCTTATCCTCAAGGAACACTATCTGCCTATATATGGTTGCAGAACCTCAGATTAATTTTTGAGCGATTGATTTTGTTTGTATGGCAATGACATACTAGTCAAGAGCAGAAAGGTTCCCACCACTGATAGTAAACAGTATGTTTAAGCTTGTGGCTTGGCTCCAGGATGGTTTATAGTCTTGGAAATACTTGTAACAGCTAAGTACTGAGGTTGCATCA